AGTGAAGAAGGAGCGGAAGTAGACCAGAGGGATCAGAGGGATTGGAAGTTGATGGCCGGGGATGGATATGACAGCTTTGTAAACTTCTACCATCGCTTCATCAAGGACTTCTCTGAGACAGTGCGGCCACTCCACACCCTAACCCGCAAAGCAAAGGCCTGGACATGGGGGGAGAATGAAGAGTGTGCCTTTGGCACCCTCAAGGACACTGTCACCTCCACCCCTGTCCTTGCTTTTCCCGCTGACTCCAGCCACTACAAACTCGAGTGTGACACCTCCAACTTTGCCACTGGCACCATCCTGTCCCAGCTCCAAACCAATGGCAAGTTCCACCCAATCGCCTTCATGTCCAAGAGCTTCACCGAGGTGGAATGCAACTATGAAATGTATGACAAAGAAATGCTCACGATAGTCCGAGCGCTAGAAGAGTGGCGTCATTTCATAGAAGGGGCTGAGGAGAAGGTCAATATCTACACAGACCACCACAACCTAGGCTACTTCTGCACTGTGCAGAGGCTGAATCGCTGCCAAGCACAGTGGTCGATGTTCCTGTCCCACTTCCACTTCACCCTCATCCACATCCAGGGAAGCTCATGGGGAAACCAGATGCCCTTTCTGTCATATCCATGCAATCCCGACCTCCGCTCCGGGCTCCCGGAACTCCGAACCTGATTTCCAGAGTCCTACCCTACCGCTGTCCGTTCCAATATTCACCTTCAGACCCAACACCACACCTCCCCTCACCCCTCATGCCACCTCCACCCTCCCGTCCTTCTCCTACCCTATCTCCGTCTGCTCTGATACTCATCTCAGACTGAACATCACCCCTTCTGCCACCTCCTCCTTGCTGACTTGAATTCCCTCAAGAGACTTTCCCTCTGCTAGATCCGAAATTAGGGACCCCCAGGACAACCAGCAATGGCACAGCGCTCCACCTGAGTCACTGAGGCCAAGGTCCTTCCACGCTAAGTCTCCAATTCCACTCCGGAGTCGTCCGAATCCACCCGTTCTAACACTTTCCCGCCATGTCGACCACCCGAAGGGGAGGGATGACAACGACAGCCTGACCCTCCTACAGCCAGAATGGTTTGAAGCCCGCATGACCAAGGCTGTCACAGTGGAAGGAGAAGAAACAGCTATCCTGGAAAGAATACATGTGGCAAAAGACCGTGATGAGAAGGTGCTGAAAGTGCTGAAGGAGCTAGGAGATGGAACCCTCAGTGGAGCAGAGATGGAGAGTTAGTCCTCTACTGGGGGAAGGTATATGTCCCGAAGGACCTGCAACTCCGCCATGACCTGGTGCCACTACACCATGACACATGGGTGACAGGACACCTGGGGCAATGGAAAACCCTGGAGCTCATCTCCCACGACTACTGGTGGCCCTGGATGGCAGAGTATGTAGGCCATTACGTAGTGGGGTGCGACGCCTGCAACCGAGTCAAGTCATTCCCCTCACAGAAGGTGGGGAAGCTCATGCCAAACAAAGTCCCCACCCGCCACTGGCAGGTAATCTCCGTAGATATGATCGGAGAGCTCCCTGAGTCAAAGGGTTACAATGCCATCCTAGTGGTGGTAGACTGCCTGTCTAAACACATCCACGCAATCCCCACAGTCATGGCAGTAGACTTGGCTGGGATTGCCCGACTCTTCCTTGAACATGTCAGGAAGCATCACAGGCTCCCTGAGGAGATTCTCAGCGACAGAGGGAGCGCCTTGTCTCTCAGTTCTCCAAAGAGCTAGCAGCCCTACTAGCGGTCAAGCTGACCCCCTTGGCACCTTACTACCCACAGACGGACAGACAGATGGAGTGGGTGAACCAGGAGATAGAAGCCTACCTCCAAGTGTTTGTCAATCACCACCAGGATGACTGGGTGGACTGGCTCCCACTAGTGGAGTTCTCCCATAACAACTGCATCCACGCATCAACCCACCACACCCCCTTTGAGCTCGACACAGGCCAACACCCCAGGATGGGGACAGAACCCGCATGTGCATCAGAAGTCAAAGCCGCTGACATGTTCACCTCGAGACTGATGAAAATGCAGGAAGAGGCAAAGGCAGCGCTAGAGCACACGGCAGAGGAGATGGCCCGCTACTATGACCAAAACTGAAAAGTAGCGCCTGAGTACAAAGAAGGCGATCAAGTCTGGCTCAGCACCCAAAACTACACCACAGACTGCCCAACCAAAAAGCTAGACCACAAATGGACCGGCCCCTTCAAAATCCTTAAGGTTGTATCCCCTGCTGCCATCAAACTCCAGCTCACAGCGTGACAAAGTGGAGTCCACCCAGTGGTATCAGTAATGAATGTCCGGCCCTACCGCCCAGATGAGATCACTGAACAACCCACCGACCCCTGCCCAGGCCCCAAAATCGTAGATGGAGGAGAAGAGTACGAAGTCAAGAAGGTCCTCAACTCCCACTGGCATTGCAGAAAGCTCTGGTATCTGGTGAAGTTTACAGGCTGGCCAAACTCCAAGAACGAGTGGCTCCCTCATGACAACCGGGCCAACGTGCACGACTGGATTGAGGAGTTCCACAGAGCACACCCAGGCACCCTGGGCAGAGAGCAAGAGAACCCCCTGGCCACTTTGAGGCGAAGTGGCTTAAGGAGGGGGTGATGTCAGGGCACGCTGCTCTCCCTCCCTTTGCCTCTCTTTCCTTTTCCTTTCCTCCTTTCTTTCTTTCTTTATATGGACGACCTCCTCTCTTACTTGTGTAGCACGGATGCATCCGACACCGAGTACTCCACATGGGTACCATGCTGCTGGATATGCCATGCATCCCCACTTGTACTTCTTTCCTCTAACACTTGGGATTGCCCACGGAGCCACCCACAATAGCCCAGCTCTGTCCGGGGTGACGTGGCACCCCCACATGACCCATCCCTGCCTGTACATAAACCGAGCCGAAGCAGAACCGAAGAAGTAGCCTTCTTCTCATTACTGCTTCAGGCAAGTACCTTAGTCTAGTTTAGTTTAGTTTAGCCTTTCATTCTAATAATGATCATTACTGCTTCAGCCTAAGAAGCCAGATAGGGATGCAAGCCCGAGTGAGGGCCACCCACCATACATTCCCGTTACTCTGCTGCCACCCGGGCCGCTACCCCCACCTCTCCTGCACCGTCCCTGACAACATACTCGTTTGCTCCCCAGTGTCAAGGCATACCCCACCTGACCCTGCACTGCATCCCATGCCACCCTGCCCTACTCCGCTCCCCCCACTATCACTCCCCATTCCTCCTCCTTTCCTTTTTCTTCTTTCTCTATTTCTGTTCCATGGTCAACTTCCCTTTTCTCTATGTATCACTACACACCTAATGCCACTCCCCCAATTGCTGCACCTGCCATACACATTTCTGCTCACAGTGGCACACCTCTGGGATCTCCCACAGAGACACACAGAGAGGTGCAGTGTCAGGGACAGCTCCAAAAGCGGTGAGGTCCCTGCGTGCGGGACTCGGTGGGACGAATAGCGGCTGTGCGTAGCAGCGATCCCGTCGCGGGGTGAGCGTCCCTGACCACTTAGTCTGAAGTGGGAAGTTGAGAAGAAGGCTGCTTCTTCTGTTCCCACCCCAGGCACTATTATATACATGCAGCTAGGGTCACATGGAGGAAGCCACATCATCTCCACACACAGCCGCACCTCCCTGGGTGTCTCCGTGGGAGATCCCGGAGGTGGCCGCTCAGTAGGTGGGAGTGTGCACGGCGCATGCGGTGATCAGGGGGGGGCGGGGTTAGGTATGTAGTGGTACATAGAGAAAGGGAAATCGACCATAGGATAGAAATAGAAATAGAGATAGAGAGAAAGGGGAAAGTGGGGGAGGAGAGAGGGGGAGTGATAGTGGGGTAGTGCAGTACGGTGCGGGGTGCGGCGCGGGGTCAGGCAGGCGTGCCCTGACACCAGACTTACTCCATGATATCCAAATGATGTAAACCAGGTGACTGGACAAATGACATAAAATGGACAAGCCTGGTATCAAACCCAGGACCTCTAGCGTGCATCCATACACTACTCACCCATTATGCCGGGGGGGTTACTCCATCCCATATTCCAACAGGAAGAAGTCATTGTTGGAATATGAGTCACATGATTAGATTGAACCGGAATATCCGAGAATATTCTAGGGGTTACTAGGTGCCTGCATAAGCGCTGGGCATAGAAGAGCCTGGAATGTTATTCAGGAGTATAAATATGGGTGCTTTAGCACCGTATGTTCTTTAGTTAGTTACAGTTATATTTCTTTCTATATTACATCTTGGTTGCGAGTGAACCGCTGAAGCGGGTTGCCATATTTGGAACGCCGCGTTTACAACAGTCATACCAGTGTATCCAAGTACCAACAAAGTCCGGAGCATGGTGGCAAGACAGTAAAGACATTTATGAGAGTAAATATTCTATTTTTTTTTTCTTGGACATCCCCATTCTCTCTGTTGACTGAAACTAGTCTACTTCATTATATATGCATACAAGATGTGCAAGCATTAGCAATACATTTTTCTCTCTGAAATGCATCCAGTCGTGATGTGATGGGGTCAGGTCAACACCTGATTTATGAAACGGTTCGGTGGTTCGGTTCGGTTCGAACCTGGTTCACAAAATTCCAACATCATAGAGGACCCGAACCGAACCATCTCTGAACCAAGGCCGAACCGAACCGCGGTTCTGGTTCATCCTGGTTCGGTTCATGGTTCATTCACGGTTCGAACCGGTTCACCGTGAACTTCGGTACCCCTATTTACCAAGGTATGTAGAACCAACTATACTTCCTAGCGTTGGCATTCATTGTGTTGAAAACTGGCATTGACATTTGGCCAACGCGGACTGAAACATAGAAAACTAAATCAAGCAATATCGTACACTCAACAACCGCGAATCGTCAGAATTCAAGAATGTTACGGAGAAATACACTGTTCAACGGAAGCGTTCAGGATGGGGAGCGAGACGTGGTGTTCATTTCTGAGTGTTGACTAAAGCTAAAGGCAAAGCATTCTGGATCACACTCGAAGTTTAGCGAATCCGACGCGGGAGTGGTCAAAGTCAAAGGCTGGAAAAAACAAGATCTGCTTGACTCATATTGCCAAGAGGGGAATAAAGGAACGCTCACCTGTATAAACGTTCCTCATAAAAACATCGCCAAGGATCCAGACGTCGCCGCCAGGGTGGCCGACAATGCCACCAATGCAGACGCTTGACTCGTTGAACACTACGTTGCCGACGTTGAAGTATTTGGAGGCAATGGGATACGAAGTTCCGTTGAACGTGAAGGAGACTTGAGGATCAGGGCTGCAGGGGTCTATGGAAAATGGTCAAGTTTTCGCAGACAAGGTAGAGGGACGATTGGGAACGCACAAGAGTAGTAGACAGTCTCATCTATGATGTCAAAGATATGACTGCCAGGAATACCCCGATAGAACTGCGCAACTGTATGGGGATCACCGACAATAAGAGTGGTACCTGAATCAATAAAGGATGATAGACCGCCGACCACCTTCGTTCCCCCAACATTGATACCATCGAGATTAATCCGCCAAAATTTCTGTTGGGTCACAGAGTTCCACTGAAGAGGACCACTGAAGAGCGACTCGTCGGTTCCACCAAGGCGGAGCTCTGAGCCAGACTCTGAAAGGTACAATGCGAAGACACCTTGGGAGACGGTTCCCTGCTGTATGAGGGTGTTGAAGAAAGGCGTAGCATTAAAGGCAGAAGCCGCTGGCCAGGCGAGGCCCAGCAAGCCATCTGTCGGTCTAACCTTGAACTGCCTGTTGAGCCAAGTAATGAATGAAAAAGAACCACAGTCAACATAATTGGAGACAAACGGGCTGTAGCTGGTGGCGGATCCGAAGGTTTGATGCTCAGCAGTGAGGCCGGCCACGGTGACAGTGTCATTGTATAGCTGTCCGCTGGCGAAAGAACCGTCGAAATAAGGATCGTTGAAGGGTTTTCCCACACTGGAGGAAGTAGAGCTCAATCTAAATAAAGATATGATAAATGCAATGCAGCATCGCGGATTCTGAAAGGGCGAGCAAACCTAGGGTTGTAACGCGTATGTGCTCCGCAATTCTGGCAAGATACATCAGGGATAAAGAGGTCACTGCTTCCGCTATGTCAAATTGAAGTAGGAGAGAGGGCATGTGGTTCACTCCCAATTTCCTCTAAAACATCCGGAGGCAACTCACGTATCGAAATCGACGGTAAACGTAACAGGAGGGGTTCCGACTGAGATGTTTCCGTACCAAAATAGCTCCCTATAGTCTGTTAAGCTATCGTTGCCGATACCTCTTTTCGAGGTGTGGGTCACTCTGTTCCTGGTGGGAGGACGGACTGATCCAGTACTCCTCTCGTAATTCTTCGAGGTGGTCTCGTATTTGCTGGGGAGAAGGAAAGATATTCACTGAAAATCCACGGAAGCTATTAAAGTTGCATTCTTACGCGACGACATAGGCGAGGTGGGCCCGGATAGCCATCATGTCGACGACGCCATCCTTGGCGAAGGTGGAACCCCTCTTGCTAATTGGAATAGAAATGCCTTTTTCATTAGCGTGGATGGGACTGGCAAAGACCAGGAAAGGTAGAGACACAACGATGAGAGGTATGGTGAACTTCATTTCGGCTGAAAGAGGGAGCGCCGCGACAAGTAGATGCGGGGGGTGGGCACCAGTAGTGAGAGCCCCATTCTTATTCCCTGCGGGAAAGAGCAGGTCCCTGATTTATCTCTAGCATCGCATTCGGTGCTATCTCATGGCGATGTATAATAAAATGACCCATTCAATCCACGTCGGTATCTATGAATGAAGAATAATGAGCGATTTGGAAACGTAAAAGGAAACGACGAAAATAAGAATCGTCAGTAAACTTGCCTTCTCATTAACCAGATGGTCATGGGCGCTTGGTAACAGCTCCGTCTCAGCTTCAGAAAGAACTTCCCAAGATTACTAGCTTGCTTTCGTTATGGGTGGGACACAGTGTTGGAGGGGGTTGTCATCTCTCCAACGGACATCTCTTTGGTTTGTTCTCTGTCTATGCCCTGATTTGTGGTTCATCAGACTGAGGTTTCAGTCGACTCGGCGTTGAGTCCATACGGCGCCGCTTGGCGCATCGAGTCAGCACAAGACTGGCGAATCGAAGGCGTACTAGCTGGCTTGCCTGATCATCGCTGCGATGGCCTATATACCGTGTCACGCTTCTAGTCAACAAGGCTTTCCATAGACTTTGGAATAATGAGCCAAAACATTGCATGTAAAAACACTCAAATTTACCGCATGGACACCGACCGCTCGACATCGCGCTTCATCTTAGTGGCAGTGGTGTGTAAGGAGCGCGTCCGGACACCCCCGAGACTCAGGCAATCTCACGGTTACTCATTCTTGAGGGAACACGGTAGCCTCCAGATGCTTCCTCATGCTGAACGGACGACAAATACTGTGAGTTCAAGCGAGTAAGCAACGCATTTAGGGGAAGTCCCATGGTTGCAATTATTGGGCTTGCCATCAAATGCTCCATTTTTGGTAGAGAGGAACTCCTCCGCTGAATCCACAATGGCCGATCTTTCTCTTTCTTTGCAAACAGCTGCATTGGTACCGGTCTAGTACAGGAAACCCCACAGGTATTGGGTCACGCATGATCATCACTCCTACCAGCTGACGTACATTTCCACATGCCCGGCGCGTAAGCCTAGAACGCTCACATGAGCAGCTCCAACCCCCATGCAATCGTATGGTACCACGTTACGCTTTTAATTTGCTGCCAAGCAAATTAAAAATGTCTAGAAACCCGCAGCAAGAAGTGCAAGGACCCTTGGTCTTCTGAGTGCGAGATTCCCCAGGTTATGATGGAAGGAGTTGGACAGAAGCCATCGATGCGTTTCTTCTTCTAGGACGCGTCGGCCGCAAGGTGCAAAAGCTCTGATCTGCCATGTATGTATGTGTGGCTGCGCACTCTTAGACTCGTCCTTCAAGTTCTAACACTGCAAAACAACCCTAAAAAGAACGGCTGTGCAACGAGCGCGCGAGCCTGGGGCAATTTAACATGCCAACCGAATTAAGCAAGTGACCAGCCACTCTTTCCAACGGAATTCCCAATACGCGTGAATTGAGGAGATATGCATATGTAGATGTGATTGTTAGGATGATTAACCATGTAGCAGTTATGGTCTAGTTCTGGGATATACGTGATACTTACGTCTGTATGCGTGTACTGCCTCTATTAGACTGGCGTGATTCAGATGTTGTAGTGAGTTATGTAAGTATGGCCAGTATGTGATCATGGTGGATTTGGGCACCGCGCCCATCATAGAACAAGAAGCATGGAAATCGGGCTGTGCAGGCAAACGCTCGGACATAGAACCACTTGTGTGCGCTGTAGCTTTTAATGTGATACGTAATCATTTTGCTGAGCGCCAATTCGGGGCCAGAGGTATTTGTAGCTGAATGACTAGCGTTATCGATGTGCCAGTGTGGCGCTTTCAATTCAATGGACCAGCACCCACACGATTGAGATGGCGCTTGATACTTAAGCTAGCTGGGCTAATGGCTAAGTCATGTAAGGACGATCAATCGTCCTTTGTGCGAACCACACTGGTCTCCATTGAACCCGGGCAAACTTGCCATGACTGCAAGCGAACGATGGATTGAGTGGGGGGTGGGATCCGGCTATTCCCGAAGGCCGTGGGAGTGGACTCAGCGCAACGATGGGCAGGTACATGATTGTATCACTGTGAGTACAACACATCGTCATTGATGCACCTGGGAAGAACGGAGTTATTTTCACCAGGTCGTTATCCTGGCTGTGATTCAATCACACGTTTTGGCATGTACATATCATGGAGAAGCGGGCATGCACGACTCGAAGACATAAAGACGAATCAACGATATTGCGGAGATCCAAGGAACGATCCGGGAAAATGGGCCCGCACGGACCCGCCTGCCTCTGAAAAATGAAAACAAATAGCCTAGTCAGATTGAGTGGGTCTCGCTCAGATTTTGGGACAGTCCCCTTTGGAAGACCAGCATGATTTGATCGACATACTTCATGATGAAGCAGATGTCCGTACATCATTTCGTGCGAATCGCCCTGCAGAAATGGGGGGCTAACAAGCGATGGGGGTTGGTCAAGCGAGCCTGGAGGGCGGACTGCTAATGATTTATTGATCTAATCACCGGCCGGAACACAATTCAAATAGCATCTTCCCTTTCCACTTTGACACCCAAAGGCGCCGACGTCGTGGTCGGCCATTTAATGATCGATAAATAATCCTTATGTTCTGTCAAAGGATGAAAGGATTCTCGGGCAGTCGTTGATGCGTTTGAGATTGCCGAATCCGCCATTGTGAAAATCGGATTCTCACACTATTACAAAGATCCGTTTCTCCCACTCTACTCTAACTTGCCTTTCTACCACCTTTCCACCTCCTCCAAGCTTGACGCCTGTTCTTCCAAAACTTGTCAGAAAAACATGTCTCAGCCAGTGTACGCATATATTCATCGCCAGGTGTTCCTCCATATCGCTAAGTAACGTCATCGGTGTATCATGGCTGGGTCGTTTGGTCGTCTAGTGGTGACATCGGCCTTATTGGCTTAGCTGTTATGGTATGCTACTTCATCTTACACCATCGGGAGCGCTTTGGTCCGCCAAGGACCGTTGCTGATTATCGTCGATTTGTCGATTTGATCTTTGATAATGGCTACAGGGTCAAAATTTGATCCTTAACATCAATGACAAAGGTTTTACCGTCGTTGCGTATAACCGAACGACTAGTAAGGTCGATGACTTCCTTGCTAAAGAAGCTAAAGGTATGTTTGGTGGTGGACTTCTTGAAGAGAGTTTTTGCTGATGTGTTGCTGCTACGATCGTGTTTCTTGAACGCCGATCGGGTGTTCGATCTTGCCGTCGGCCGTGCGAACTTTCATTGTGATATTCCCTCCTGCCTTATTTACGCCGTTTTTGCGTTGGATGTGACGACAATGACCCCAAAATTGCCCTCGGGGATTTCGGTATGAATGAATAGGAACGAATGTTCAGGGAGCGCGCTCCATCGAGGAGCTCGTCGCCAAATTGAAGAGACCCCGCAAGATTATTCTCCTCGTCAAGGCTGGTGACGCAGTGGATAACTTTATCCAACAGCTTGTCCCTCATCTCGAAAAGGGTGATATCATCATTGATGGTGGTAACTCTCATTACCCAGATACCACTCGTCGCGTGAAGGAACTTGATCCCAAAGGAATTCTATTCGTGGGGTCTGGTGTATCGGGTGGCGAGGAAGGCGCTAGACATGGTCCTTCGCTCATGCCTGGTGGTCATCCTGATGCTTGGCCTCATATCAAGGAGATCTTCCAGAAGACGGCTGCACAGGCGTTTGGTGAGCCGTGCTGCGATTGGGTAGGTGAGGAAGGAGCTGGCCATTATGTCAAGATGGTGCATAACGGTAGGGGAATTGGAATTAAAGTCTTATTGTGCGATCTAACAACCCACCTCCTTTTCGCGTTTAGGTATTGAATATGGTGACATGCAACTGATTGCCGAGGCATACGATATCCTCAAGCGAGGTCTTGGATTGAGCGAAGCAGAAATTGCCGACGTCTTTGAGACATGGAACAAGGGCGTACTCGATTCTTTCCTCATCGAAATCACTTTCAACATCCTCAGGTACAACGACCCAATAGATGGTCGGCCCCTCGTCACCAAGATCCTGGACAAAGCAGGCCAAAAGGGAACGGGTAAATGGACGGCGATCGCTGCTCTTGATGCCGGTACGCCTGTGACGCTCATTGGGGAGGCCGTTTTCGCTCGCTGTCTTTCGGCCATTAAGGAGGAACGTGTAAGGGCTAGTGCGGTCATTGCTGGACCTCAGAGGGAGACGTTCAAGGGTGATAAGAAGCAGTTCATTGATGATCTGGAGCAGGCGTTGTATGCTTCGAAGCTTATTTCATATACGCAAGGGTTCATTCTTATGCGTGAGACTGCTAAGGAGGTGAGTACCGTTTAGCTAAGGTTGGTCATGTTGATCCGGGCTTGCTGAATTGCCTTTCGGGGCCGGGGTTTCTAGCTCAATTGGAATTTGAACTATGCTGGTATTGCTCGTATGTGGCGCGGTGGATGTATCATCAAGGTCAGTTACGATATGACTAGGCTTGGGGGTTTGAGAAGATGATCAAACTTCTCGTCCATTTAGAGTGTTTTCTTGGCCGATATCACCAAGGCTTACGACAAGAATCCCAAGCTGGAGTCTTTGCTCTTCGATGACTTCTTCAACAAGGGTACTTGTCGTCTTCCCATCAGCTTCCGTTAGTCCAGCTTGCTGACGGACACTTTGAATGTCTCTCTCTCAGCTATTCATAAGGCTCAGCCTGGCTGGCGTCGTGTTATTGCTCAGTCTGTTCTTTGGGGCGTCACACTTCCTGCCTTCAGCACGGCTCTCGCATTCCTTGATGGCTATCGCTCCGCGGTCGTCCCAGCTAACTTGATTCAGGCTCAGGTACGATTTCGTTCTCCTTAGCATTCGTCTCGGTGGTCCTTTTAGAGGCTGAATCCTTTTCGTTCGCTGACGTGCCGTTACGTTGTTTCGTCCATTTGTTAGCGTGATTACTTTGGTGCGCATACATTCCGCGTATTGCCTGGTAATGAGAACAAGTTGCTTCCTGCGGGCAAGGATATCCGTGAGTTTTCTGACTGACGGTCTTATTGGTTTTTGATCGGTGCCTTCTTTGCTAGACATTAACTGGACTGGTCGTGGTGGGAACGTCTCTGCTTCTACCTACATTGCGTAGGGCAGAGTGCAGTTAGGAGAACTTGCACGGATACGAATAGACCATCGCACCGTCTTTTTTTGCTTCCATACGCTTGTCTATGTCCCAGCGCCTCTTCCCGCGCCTTTCTCCCCTCTCACACATCACTGCATCCCCTCCGTCTTTCCTTCTTCGTATTTTTGCTGCCACAATTATTGAAACGGAACTTTTTCTTCCCAATTTTGTCTTGGGGAGAAGGAGAGAATCATGTTTTTGAATCCCTAACTCAACTGTTCTTGTTAGTTTTTCCTTGTTCATTTGTAAACTACAATCAGTGTGAAGGTCAAAAAATCGAAGAGTGAAAAATGGTTAGAATGCGATCGATACGAGGATATTTTTTGGGCATCGTGGGATTCAGTAGTGAGGTGGCTTCGAGAGACCCGAGAAGAGAGATTACAATATGGATTTGTTTATGTAGTGAAATTCGGGAAAGCGCGCGTCATGTAGTCGGGAATGAATTGAGCCGGGGGGTTGCCGGTACGAGCATAAATTACTGATCTTCGACGTTCCGAATCCTAAGGTTTCAATTAGGCGGTTTTGGTCTTGGGGTGCTGGCGGCGAGGGGTCCTCACGGTTCTTTGACTTACGAGCTTTAATCGTAGCTAGGGTTCAATTTCTACGCGCACGTCTATCTCGTATACGCCCGCTGGTATGGAGGCTAACACCGTTTCTGGTCAACGACAAGACCTTGAACGCGATGATCCTGAACTTGAGGGTAGAACTCACGCAAAGGCACATGCTGTGGTTGGTCCGGAGAGTGAGGGGCGCCCTTCCCCTTCAAATGAGGTGATTGTTGGGGAGGCCGCTCTTATGGATGGCGACGCAAATGGTGGGGAGGGAGAATCGGAACGCTCCCATCGAGGACACCAAGATTCTCCCAAGGATACTCGGAGTCGGAGACTTTCTACGTCATCACCTTCATCACATCCTCAACCTAGTTCCAACCCTACCACTCCACCAATTTCACCAGTTAAAACGGAAGAAAAGCACGTCAGGATTTCTGCTGAAGACGAAGAGGATAAAGAACTAGAGGAAAGGCGGGAAGTGGAGACGAGCCGCCATTCTCTCGAACTTGATTCGTCGCCCCAAAGGACGAAGAGTGCGCGTCGGCATGGATTGCTAGGTCAGACGGCGCTGAATGAGATGGTGTTTGCGAACCCTTCGACGTCTCCCCACAGACATGCGAGGCCCTCAGATGGAGATGGCGAAGGGGAAGAAGAGGATAGGGATGGTGATTATGGTGATTATGTTGTGGTGACCTCGCTGGATGTTGTCTCGGAGAAGGAAATGAGACGAACGGCGATGGCGAAGAGGAAGATCGAGTTTGGAACGGATCCGAATGCTGGTGGTCGGACGATGGGAGATCAGAGTGAAGTGTAAGTTTTTTTTTTTCCATCTTGTGAATATGGGGTGTTGAGTTTGCAATACGGATAGACAACATGAAGAGATTAGACCTCCTAAATCGTCGTATTATATTGGACCTCCGGGTGTCGACTCTGCTTATGGGACTCCACCTATTGGTCAAATTGGTATACATTATCCTCGGGAAATATTCAGGATCGAGCGCGATTATACAGCTGGAGAACTTCCTCAGTACGTTTGTTCACCTGGTCTGTTTCGACGACCGGCCCCATACTTTCTCGGTTGGCTGATCAAGGTACTGTTTGGATGTTTAGATTTCTTCCCACGTATCCCCTGGAACTCGAAGGGAGGGTATGCTATCTGCTCATCTCTGTGCTCACATGCAAGCTGACACTATCGCGCAGATCACACCCACACAATTCCAGGAGACCATCAACGACATAAATGAAATCCTTATATCGGCATATAGTACACAAGCTGCATTTTGGGAGAATTTGCTAGCTGTGGCCACTTTGTACACAAGCATGCTTTTCATCAAAACGCATTACAACAAGGTTGGTTTAGTTGTTTTTTTTTTTTTGAATAGCTCCCATCATTGCTTAATCGGTTATTAGGAAATGCGACGGTTGAAGATGCTCATCGATGAAAAAAATGCAATCATGTACCATCCTCAGGGTCTACATATCGTATGGCCTCGAAAGTCAGCTTTCCTTTTCGTGAGTGTTGTTCCCATCTTGATGGTCCTGCAATATTAATCAAAGTCCCCAATTGTCACAGTTGGAGATTGAATATTATGTGCGTTGTCCTCACTTTTCTATCGTCGCGTCTTGCAAACTGATTGTACTTGATAGTGATATTAATTATGGATAATTTTGTATTCGATGCATTCAGTTTATCATATAAACCTTGACTCCCTCAATGTGCACTTCGAATTCTAACAATATCGGAATTTGACTTGATCATTGCCATCTTGAGGCATGTATGTCGGAGCATGCCGCTTTTTCGAGCACTCCTTTCTACTCACACGCTACCCTCAAACAGCAAGACAGCAAGTGATGGCGATGCACAGCACTCTAGACGACGCGGTTAGAGGTGACTCCAATATTGACTTGTCGGGTCTTGTTCTGATCGAGCCTAGGCGCCAGTTCTGCTGTTGATCTTGAGATGGAAGAAATAGATCGCAGTCCGTCTCCCAGCACTCTATCTAATCAAATCTTGGGGCGCTTGAGTGATATACGGACTGCATTGCTATCTGTTGAATTGACCAATGACTTGGGGTATAAACCTGGACTTCTGAATCTCCTCGGCCAAATTGATCAACGGGTACAAATATTCCATTTCCGGCTACTCAGCGACCCCAATGCTCGTCTCCTGAGGGAGGCGAATCAGAAACTACCGGAAATGGACAGGTTGGAACACCAAATGCCTTTAATCTCCACTGTCTAGCTGACGCAGGTTCCAGTCTGACAAAAGCGCTTATGGCTGCGTTTAAGGGGGGATCGAGAGCGGACGTGCTCAATGGAATCAGTGTCTTTGAGAACTCGGCAAGTGACTGGATAGGCAGCGGTGCAGTTGAGTAGCACCTTTGTGCCGCAGCCTCATGCTGAGGTCCATTTTCAGGAAGAAGAGCAATCACCCGAGCAGAAGCCATCAGTTTTTGACGTAAGCATGCGACGACAGCTTTGCCTGAGCCTCCCTCAAATAAGTCATCCGTCAGACCCTTGCTGTGGACGTTCCGATGGATAAACCCCTATGCCGGCTTGAGACCGCCTTTCTAGGCAATGGCGGAATCCGCAAGAAATTCTACAAAGTCGAGGATTTTGTCGAATGGCTGTACGACGAGCAAGGCCTTGGACAGGACTGGAGTGTCCGAAGCGCCCATCTCTTCCGTGAAACTGACCCCATACATCACGAGTACGCCATTTTTGGACTCCAGGAATCGTCTTTCTCTAGTTGGCTTCGCGTGGAGCGAGCAGCTCGATTCAAGGATCGCCGTCATCGGCTCCAAGCCGACATGTTTGATCCTCTTTTCAAAGGGACGCCGTTGCGGCAGCAGCTTTGGCTTGGAGCCTCCAAAGAAGATATTATATCACCCAATGGAAGGGAGATTCTAGTCCTCTCCATACATGATCCGGATACTGCGCGTTTATCGCTTCAGGAATTAACACACCAAATATCGGAATCTTCTGCTATAAGTGATATATATCTGCTTTTTACAGAGAACTGCAGGTGGTTTGCCCGACGTAACATTCTTAGCCTTGGAGAACGGATGCGTATGATGAATCACTTGATTTCGCTGTCCTGGAAAGGCAAAGAAGCTGATCCTGGCGGGCTGGCATCCCTGCTTGGGAAGGACCCAAATGGAGGATGGCAACTCGGAGGTACGAAAGGCGCCTATCTGCAGGCGGACTCGCTAGTAGAAGCCGCCCGTGTGGCACTTTCTCAGGGCCGTCCTAGGGAGGCGATCCCTTTCGCGGAGGAAGCTCTAAGCCTTCTGGAACCCCTGGACGACCCGAAGCGGGCTGTTCGTTTACTCATCGCTCGTTCTTCTGCTCATCGTCATCTCGCGAGTGCTCTAGAGGAGACTGGAGAGTTACCCATGGCACTCCATCACATGCGAGAAGCATGCGAGCTTTCAACAACAACGTTTGCTGATCATTTCCAACTCTACGTCTACAATACGAATTCTCTCGTTGGGATACTCAATATGTTAGGCGATACTGCTGAGGCCTTGAACAGACGGCGACATATCGTTAGTCTTGTTCGTGGCCTACATAACAACCAACCCGAGAGGTGGGTTTCCGAGGCCCTTAGCGAGTACCTCAAAAATTGGGCAGTGGAAATATGTGGCTTGCCTGCCAATGATCCTGCACGAGACTTGGATCATGCCATTGATTGTGTGCAAGAGTCAATCACTATTCGAACTGGTCTCTATGAACTATCCCCGGACTTGTACAAGGATGATTTATCTCACACATTCGCCGTACTTGCCAATGTTTTGGATGATCGTGGTGATTTTTTGGAGGCACTTGCAGCTCAAAGAAAGGCCGTCGACATATTGAAGGCAGGGGACGATGAGATAGGCGATCATAAACATCAACTCGCCGAACGGCTTGACAACTTAGCATGTTATGCCGAGAAGCTAGGAGACTTGCATGCGGCACAAGCAGCAGCCTACGAAGCGAATGATATTTGGAAAGCACTCGATCCAAACAGTAAAGAGATTTTATCCCTGCAACGGCCGCGCACTCTCATCCGACTTAGTCATTACTTAGAGCGGGAGGGGAAGCTGACCGATGCATTAGACTATCTGGAGGAGGGACTGCGTTTATTCCGCTCGGCATTTGACGAGGATCCCGAAGGCGGGAGTAAACGATCGAACCTGGCAGGCGCATTAATGCAGTATGCTCATCTTTTGGAAGGACTTGGCCGCCATTACGAGGCCCTCGATGCGTCTAAACAAACGGTAGACCTTCACAGGCTTGCCTTCGGCCTCGATCCTACCTCCACTCGCCCCGAAATGGCTCGCCACATGTACAACCATGCTGGTTACGCAGCCTCTGTGGAGGATTGGGATGAAGCCTGCGAGGCCTCTATGCACGCCGCTCGACTGTATCAACAACTCACGGGACTTGATCGAGATCAATATCTGCAGGATTACGCTGATGCACTAAATAATTGGGGATATAACTTGAAGGATGCAAGCAAGCCGAAAGAAGCACTTGCACCTTGGCAGGAGGCCATTCATTGTTTCCGAGATCTTATGGCATCAGGGGCAGACTGCCGCGACGAACTAGTGGATTTGTTGCGTGAGGTGGCCACGATTATCACTGTCCAAGGGGATGTAGCTCAGACGTATGGGTTGAGCGCAGAAGAACTTGGAATGGAAGCTGATGAGCTTGAAGCTCAGTGATACGCAGTAATACGGCTATGTGTAAGAACTGAGTGCAGGAGGGGTTTAGGGCCCGATGCCCAAAGGTTGTCGCTGTGGATTGTACTATGACTCCACGTATAATGTGGTCTGTATTTCGTTCTGTTGCTGCCCACTCACAGTATCATCCATTCAGTATCATGTACTCCAATTTTTTTTGAATGGATACCTCTCCAACTTTCCGCACCAATCGACGAGATCGGACAGACCTCGACCATACAGCATACGAGAATCAGGCAATCGAAGTCAAGCCAAGGAGATCACCGTCCTCTTTTATGATAATGAACCCAGAAGTACCACGGAGGAGAGAGGTGAACAAGCAACAACCAAGCCAAGCATGGAAATAGCTGCTCCTTTTACGAAATTTCGGATGAAAGTATCCATTCAAGCCTGTCAGGTCATCATTGGAGGTGGGGGGATTATCACCTGCTGACCGCACCCTCATCAGCCACCATATCTTCGTTGCGACGGGAAAACGGGCACCGTGTAGGACTGGGTCCTTGCAACTCGTTGTCACCGGCTCGTTTCTTGCTGGTGACGGACAGGACGGTGTTGTCATCCTCTAGCAAACGAGTGGACTCACAATGTGCAAAGCGGACCAATGGATTTGGAAACTACGAACTTCGCTCGTGCGTTGCTTCGAGCCCGGGTACTGAATGTGATGGTATTACTCTCCGCCCTGGTGCCTAAGTGTCATGAACGATACTCACAAATGCAAAGTGGCAGTCCCGACGACCGTGACGCCACCCCTGAAGAGAAGCTCGAGTGGATCGTGCGGAATATCGTTTTCAGTATGAAAATATTGGGATTCTTTCTGTACAGTTGCTGATGGTATGGCGCATCGGAAATGATTCTCTGGATCCTACTTAGGATGGGAATGGATGGACGGAGTGCTGTGATCGTGATTGGAAGTGCTTGTGGTGTGATCGCTTCCTGACGGCTCCAGAGAAGGGAGCTCATGTGGGATTCTCCATCGGCTTAGTGCGTGCTTTACTGACATCCAATGTCTGGGCGACCCTCGCGAAACATCGGGTGCTGGACCCTGATGTAAGGAGCGCTTGCTCAGATATACCCAGCCGTATTCATTCTAACCACTTCGTCTAGTTAAGTACACCTGGTCAGACTCGTGCGCTAGGATGTGAACAGTCACATCCATCGGTCTGGTGGCCTAATCCACTTGCATTTTTGAGACGGATCAACCCCAAAATTTGCTCCTTGAACGCTGTTAAAGGACATCAATTGAGGAGGGGACGATAGCGAAATGAGGATCACTCCCTGTTCTCCGCTGGCAACGGGCAAGTGGAAATGAGCGATAAATCGACGCGACGAACATCAGCACGTGCGACTTGAGTTAAGTTTGATGGGTTGTGGCCCACAGTGTGAGTGGTTGACGAGAAGGGTTGAGAGTGTGTCATGCGACTCACAAGGAGAGTCGGAAACAATGTGCTCGAACAACATGCACAACGACATAGAGACCCAATGCTCGATTAATTGAGACGTCGAAGACCTAGAGCGGGACCATTTTTTAGTGTTTGAGGGAAGAGGATCGGGACAGAACTGATCAAGCTGTTGGATATGATCATCGATCGGGGGAAGCCGACCACACACAGCCAACAAAAGGGAGGGTCATAGCAGTGTGCATGTAGGATATGATGAATTCAAAGTAATCCTGTAGGGTATTCCTGACCCTCCATGATCAGTGCGAGTCCCACACGGCGCGTAGGTGGTAGGGTTAGATTGGGAAGTACCCCGTCTCACTCCACGTGATGGTGCTGTTGATTCCTTATGACTTTGCTAGCAGCCGGCTCTAATGCGAAAGGGCAACTGGCAAGCGGAGACGCGTTCGATAGACCGAGATTCTCCCCATGCGTGTTCGAGGGGACCCACTTTCCTGGTCCTGCTGAAGTACTTCAGGTTGCAGGTGGCGCTAATCACACTTTGGTTCTTTGTCGCCGGAGCAGTGACCCACCGACGAAGACAACTCTCTGGGGCTGCGGGGATGGTTCGAAAGGGCAATTGATTTCCATACGCTCTAGCCACACCTTCAGGCCACTGGACCTCACGAAATTAGGGGCTAAGGGATACATTGCGACAGCTGTTGCTGCTTGCTGGGAAGCCTCATTCATTGTGTTCACGCCGAAACAAGAAGGTTCCCGCCAAAAAAGTTCAGATCTAATTTTCTCTTTTGGTTCAAATGATTTCGGCGATCGAGGTGTCCCTAAACCAGCTCAGGCTGTTCCTAGTTCAGTTCCGTTGGAACCCGCTATTAAAGGAACTGGTCTCAAAGTTACATTCCCCATTGTCTATCGTATTCTGATGATCTCCTCTGGGCCTCATCATGTTTTAGTTGTGGTGCTCGTGACGACGGTTGACGGCTTAGAACAAGAAGTAGTTTTGGGGTGGGGTGCAAGCCGGCATGGTCAACTTGAGCTCGAGCTCATGTCCGATAAAGCGCGCGATATCCTCCAGAAATCGAATAAGGCCCAGCCATTCGCTCAAACCCCTCGGAGTATACTTTTACTACCCCATCAGAGGCGTGTCGTGAGCATGTCCGCGGGTCAGCAACACTCCATAGTTGTCGACAACGAGGGCAACGTTTATGCTGGAGGATCAAATCGGAAATTTCAATTGGCATCGATCCATTCCATCCCGGACATTACGTCGCTAGAATGTACCTGGAATGGGACCTACTTTGTTTCGCGGGGCAATTCGTCGTGGAGGGTTTACTCTACAGGAAGTGGCGTGAAGGGTCAGCTAGGACATCGCCAGTCTCAGCCGACTACAAGCGCATCCATCATGCCTTCTGTGCCCTACACATCTTCTGTTCCCCAAGAAGTTGCATTCCTTTTTCAACATACCAGCACGAAGCTTATCGGCCTCGCTTGTGGAAGTGAGCATGTGCTCGCATTGATCGAGGATGAATCAGATCATTCGAACAGTGTTTTTGGTTGGGGTTGGAATGAGCATGGGAATTTGGGATTGGGCTCAACCGAAGATGTATGGGAACCGGTTAGAGTTTGGCCACCATCCGACGATGGGGGTGCTACACAAGGATCGGTCAGAAAAATATGGGCAGGCTGCGGGACCAGCTGGATTTGGGTGGTTGAGTAGACAGAATTTTATACATTGTACTTGCACAAATTAAACAAACGGGGCTTTTGCGTTGTCCGACCGCAATGGCCCGATGAGGGAAATTCATTTTCTACCCCACCATCCACCCAATATACCGCCGATACTATACGAAGCGCTGTCAACGATCTTGACTACTGGCGGCTCCTCTTCTATCTTTGTAGGCAAACGCTTCTCCTTGACCTCCGTTGATGTGGGTTTCTTTACCACTTCATGGGCGACGGCTCTCGTCAGTGGTGCCTTCTGTGCACGGGCTTGCAACCGGTCAAATGGTAACTCAATGTAGTTGAAAGCGACGTCGAAGAACAAAGGCTTCTTGTGAGGGACTTGGTCGATGCCTGGCAAACCAACACGACCGCCATCGAACGAGAACCATTCGCTTTTTGTGCCCTTTTCGTCATCAAAAAGTGTCGACTTCAGAGACGCAATATCACTCAACGTGATCGGATAAAAGTTGTCCTCAGGAGGTTTGTCAGAGGATGCAAGATGGGATCTCATCTCACGCAGGTATATATGTGCCTTGGCTGTCAAAGCCAGTGTCTCAGCGTATTTTTTAACGGAGGAGTGGGCTCGTGACAGATAGAGTAGACTATAGGGGCCGCATCAATGGGACGAGAATGGCAAATGAGTGTTAGCTACACTTACCGACGTGCTTTGGAGTATGAAAGCTTGGCCTCGATCGCTGGAACAAGGTTTATGCTCTCGTCCACGATGCTCAAGGTCCTCATTCTTTCTAGGGATTGAAGGATTGCATCGTACAATTTGACAAGTCCTGGATTGAGACGTGGATCCTCGGAAGCGGCAGCATTCTGCGTTAGCTTTCCTTTTGCTTCCTTTTGGTGCGATGTAAGTGAATCGACCAAAAGGAGATCCCGTTCAATACGCTGGGATAATAAGCGGTAACCAATAAATGCGTGAATAAAGTTTATGTCGCGGACCCCGCTCTCGCTAGAAATAGGACCAGAACCGAACAGCTGTTGAATGGTATGTGCGATTAGAATGGATGGTTATGTGGTGCCGAGGCGACGTACCTCTCGGGCTTCAACTAGTCGTCGAGAAACTTCTTCGGCATCAGAGAGTGCCAGGAGCAGATCATCGTAAGCGGCAATTTTGCTTTTGGATGACTTAGAAGAGGGGTTCTTGGAGGCTCCTTTTGTTCCGCTAGCAGGGATATATGAGGATAATGAATCCTTTTGAATAGTTTTTTGGCCCTCGCGAAGGATATCCTCGGCTTTCTGAACTTTAAGGAAGGCGTCGACAAGTTCGGGGCTCCGCATCGGGACGGGAACACCTTCCCAGAGGATCTCGCGAAGTAATGATCCTTCGCCCAACGTAGTCTTTTCTTGGCTCAGATGTGCAAATAATTCATTTGACGCCGGAAGAAGCTGGTCTCTGACACGTGGGGCGACCTCATTGACAATGCTGTCGATGTCGTATGCTTTGCTTCGACCAAGTGAATGCGCCCCATAACGAATCTGTGGTGCAATCTCATCCGAGAAAAGGGTGTAGAGTGCTTGGTCATGCGACGTCGCGGCGGAGGTTGTCAGCTTATCGAGCATAAAACGCGCCACGGAGAGGAACTCGACACCCTCCTGGAAGTCATCTTTTCTAAGATGGAAGCGACCCTCAAGTATGAAATGATAGACAAAAATTTCCAGCAAGGACGCTGAGTTGATTCGTTGTGATTGGTAGAGGATGAGGGCGGCATTCCTGAGTTCTGCGGCTGAATGCACAGCGCGACGGAGGCGTCCTGTTGCACGCTGACGAATGGCTTTAGCAGGGTCTCGTTGGGAGGAAAGCTGTTGCGAATATGTCCACGAGCGCTCCGCCTCAAAGAGCAGGAGTTGTAAACTGGTGATCAAGAAGGTGTCAGCATCCCTTTGCGGTGTCGATGATCATGGGCAAGGAACACACTGGGCGTCTGTGAGATTTGCTGTTGGAATTGGCGCAGTCTTCGTGTACTTCTTTCCCTTTCCGTGAGTTAGTTTGAGTTTTTGGCGCAGTTTTGATATCTTCCGTGAACAATGCTCCCTGAGAGATATCGCGCTGAATGGGGACATTTGAGATCACACCCAGTCTGTTACTGACCTATAGCGCCCGTATTCATTCAGCCTCAATCCATAAGAGTTCCTCTCCTCATTTATGAGCGATAGGACTAAAAAATGCGCTCTTTGAGTACGCTACATAGTATAGCAAGAATTATCCCAAACTGACCTCTGAGACTGACCCTTGTCATGGCTTGAACGATCAGGTGACTAAATTCGAGCAACCGATCGAAATTCGGTTCAAGCGCTCATACCGCAGTTCCTGTTAGACGACATAAACACAAGATTAGAAAATTTTCTGGGCAGATATAGTAATGGCTGAAGAGACGCTTGAACCAACCCTTCAGAATATACTGGACCAGGAAACTCTAAAATGGATCTTCTGTGGTACGCGTCGCCTTGAACACGTCTTAGAGGAACAACTGAGCACTGAGAAGTATATTTAATGCCGTATTCGCGATTACAGGTGGGAAGGGGGGCGTAGGTGGGCTCTTTAAGGTCCGTTGATCGGACAAGATTTACCACCTTGACGTGTCTAGGCAAAACCACTACGTCTTGCTCACTGGCGATTCAGCTTGCTGCTGTTAGGGAATCAGTTCTCTTAATTGTAAGCCTTCTCGCTTCCCTTATGGATTTTTGGAGGAATCTGACCCTCTACGATCACGCAGTCGACAGATCCCGCACACAATTTATCAGATGCGTTTGGGCAGAAATTTAATAAGGAAGCCACGAAAGTTAATGGATTCGATAATCTTTATGCTATGGAAATTGATCCAAATGGTTCTATTCAAGAAATGGTAGAGGCAGGTAAGTGCTTCTGTGGAGTTACTTAGGTTCCTTAGGGTCATCACGACTCGGCGTGAGAGGCCCTAAAAGCTGCTGGGTTTTCTTACTATTTTCAGAACTATACTGATGATATCTCTGGTTACTTTTCTGGCTTGTGGTTATCGGGAAGCAGCTGACGAACAGGGGGCCATGGGGGCTATGATGCAAGATCTAGCCTTTGCTATCCCCGGTGTTGACGAGGCAATGGGATTCGCAGAAATAATGAAGTATGTTTCCGTAATTCATACAATTTGGAGACCCCATGTTCTGAATTCGCTTGATGTCTATTCAGACATGTCAAATCTATGCAGTACAGCGTTATCATTTTCGACACCGCTCCTACTGGGCATACACTAAGATTTTTGTCGTTTCCCACTGTGCTTGAAAAAGCCCTCGGAAAAATCAGCCAACTGGGAGGTCGGTTTGGCTCCATGATGCAGCAGGTACGGAAACTTGAACAGGTGATACCACGTCGTTGGTTCTCTTATGATTCCGCTTTGCTGTGTCACAAAACTGGGATGAATTGGGCTTGATTTCCACGCCGGAAACAAACTGAAGATGTCCGCTATGATGGGTGCTCCACAGGGAGGTCAGGAAGACATGTTTGCGAAACTGGAAAGCATGCGAGCCGTTATCACCGAGGTGAACGCGCAGTTCAAGGACCCTGTACGTGGTTAATCATGGAGTAACAATCCTGTGCTCAATTGCCCAACAACTTTTGACAATCAGGAAAAAACAACATTTGTGTGCGTGTGCATTTCAGAATTTCTGTCGTTGTATGAGACGGAACGACTCGTCCAAGAATTGACGGCGTACGAAATTGACACACACAACATCGTCGTGAACCAATTGCTGTTCCCTGCGAAAGGTACGTAATATTAAGTCTCGTCTTCCGAACGCCTGCTGAACGAAAGGTTAGATTCAAATTGCCAACAATGTAATGTTCGGCACAAGATGCAGCAGAAGTATCTGAACGAGGCGCACGAGCTCTACGACGAATTTTTTCACATTATTCAGCTACCGTTGCTGACGGAAGAAGTCCGAGGTCCGGAAAAGCTGAAGAACTTCAGCGAAATGCTGGTCAAGCCGTATGGCCCACCCTCATGAATGAAGGTGTTTTACCCAGAAGTCAGGCTCCGTCACATGCTGGACTCGTTGATTGGGCATTGATCGGGTGTTGCATGTCGGCTTAGGTGTTGGGTTGATGTTTTAGTTTTTTGTGTCTTGATTTCATAACGCCGCAGATGGTGGTGGAGCTTGGCAATGATGGAGGAATATCATGGGGCATCATCAGTCCAGCGTATGTTCCCTGCTCACCAATAATCAACAAATCGCAGAAAAGAAACCGCTTGGAGGGTCGCAGAACTAGGAGCGAAGGCCTAGATTGACGATCAGCGTGTTGACGGTTATGTGTGCCGGGAGGCGTATGACGTCATATTCAATTGGAGGGACGGTTTCTTTAAAGCATGACACCAAAAAAGCAAATGGGCCGTTTTCATCCGTCCCCAGCTGGTTGAGCCTCGACGACACTGACGATAGCACTCGTCCCACTCCCTTCCCGCCACGAAACTCATGGCGGATGACTTCTTCTCGAGTGCGAAAAGGGATCCTCAGGAGCTCACCAACCCCCCGGACGACCTCGATACTTTTCAACAAGCCATCGGCAGGAGATTCAGCGCGCAAGACACCTCCCCTTTCGCCTCAAGGATGTCCCTCCATCCCCCTCCCCCAACCCCCGGTGCTATCCCTCTCAGGACGCCTAGTCTGTCTTTGGGGCCCCTACAGTTGCACTCACGAATCTCTCAAGCACACCTGGCTCCGCTTGGCCACTAAATGCCCACGTTATGCCCCCTCCTTTGACATCAATCGATCTCAAGGGTCCTTTCTTGAGTTCTCATGCCTCCGCGCCTCCAAATAGTCTAAAATCTCTCCCTGGGGTTGGTAGGAACGGAGTTGTTCCCAAGCATCATCTTGCCGCTCATAGTGTAAGCTCAAGGTATATTCCCATCCAACCTCAGATGCTTGAGGCCTTCCTTTGCCTCGACACCACCACCTCTTTCCAGCGACCCCTCCTATCCTCACAACTTTCCCCAGACGTGATTGTGATCGACATTCGAAGCCATCATTATTTCCTCCACTCCCGTATACAATCGGCCATCAACTTATCTGTGCCCACCATGCTGCTCAAGCGGTCTTCATCCACACTGGAAAAGTTAGCAGATATGATCGCGCCTGCTTCCTGTCAACCTATCTTCAATGCGTGGCGGTCGGCCCGCAGGATCATCGCCTACGATGTTGACTCCACAGCTCTCACTTCCGGAAGCAACATTTTGAGCCTTCTCCGAAAATTCGAGAACGAAGGTTTCACTGGGTCCTTGTGCTTCCTCCAAGGAGGGTTTTCCGGTATCTCTAGAGTTCACCCAAGCCTGATCGATAGCAGGCCCCTCACACCCCCTGGGAAGGATGAAGAATCATCACGGGGTGTGCTGCATTCATGCGAGCTCCCGATGGCCGCCTTCCAGCAATGTAAGTCTCCCAACTTCCCTACGGCAACGTTTGAATAACCCTCATTTATCATTTACCTTTTCAGCATCGACGACGAGCGCTGGGAAGCGTGATCTGACGGATGAGACAGGCCGACTACCACACGAATCCGGATTTACCAAAAGGACCGTAGCGAATCCATTCTACGACAACATACGTCAGTATCTGGAGCTGTCGCAGGGTATTACTGAGCGTATTCCCCTCGAACTGCCAGAGTGGGTGTTGGAGCGTAGGGATGAGCTACCGTTCGAATGGCTTCGTGAAATTGTCCGGAAAGCGAGTGCTAGGAGCCCAGGTGGCCATACAGGGGGCGAGGCCTTGGAAGACCTAGCTATGCAGTTCTATCGAGTAGAGCTTGGGGAGCAAAAGCGACTCCATGGTGTTATGGATCATCACTCAAGGGAGAGTGCTACTGAAAACAGAGCTGCGAAGTTCCCAATGAAACCTATCGGGCTTGCTCTGAACAAATCATTTTTCCCATACAGCATCACGGCTGGCATAGAAAAGGGTGCCAAGAATAGGTGGGTATTTCCCTTGGATCCCAGTAATCTCTGTGATTCTGAGTCATAAATGTCAGATACCGCAATATTTGGCCGTTCGAGCACGCGCGAGTTCGACTTATAGAGCCCGTGGACGATGACAAGTCTGATTATATCAACGCGTCCTATATCCAACCCCGTGGTACCACGTTCAGGTACATTGCCACGCAGGGTCCACTTGAATCGACATTTGCCGACTTCTGGACGCTTTGCTGGGAACAGAATGTGTCAATTATAGTAATGGTTACCCGGCAGAAAGAAGGGAACACCGTCAAATGTGGCAACTATTGGGGTGACCGAAACTTTGGGCCGTTGAGCTTGAAATTGCTGAAGGAGGAGGGACCCGTTCACATTGATCCACCCGGTGAGAACGGCGGCTTTGGAGGATACAATTTCGGGATATACGATGAGCACGGGAAGGATAAAGAAGAGGAGGAGGACACCATCATTCGACGGACATTCGAATTGAGGAACAGTTCGTACCCGGAGGCGCCTGCACGTAAGGTAACCCAACTGCAGTACATTGGATGGCCCGACTTGAATGTGCCCAAATCCCCGAAACATCTTCTCGAGCTTATTAAGGAGCTAAACAAGCTGAGGGTGGAGGCGAAGCAACATTCTATCCGCATGACTGGACAGAAGGATGAGAGCCGTCGACTGTCTCTTGGTCCTGTGCTTGTCCATTGTAGTGCTGGTGTTGGTCGGACTGGTTCCTTCGTCATGGTTGATGCAATTTTGGATGCAATACGACGGGAGACCCGCACAAAGATGGAGCAGGAAATTTTCCGAATCAAGGGGAGGCAGGAGTTTAAGTCGGACGAAGATCCCCCCGTGTTCCCACCATCTCACCACTCTCCCCCCCCGCTTCATCCCGACGATAGTGGCGCTATTCATCTGCGCTACGACAGAAAACCGTTGACGTCAGCCGACAAACGAAGTGTTAAGAAACGCCGAAGTGACCTAGGGGTATTTCCGTCTAATATGCAGTCCTTGCCAGAAGAAGGTGCCGGGCGGCCTATTACATCTCCTCCCTCGTCTTTGCGCAATTCGGCTTCGCCAAGAAAGAAGCACCATCCGAACAACTCAATGACGGACCTAACGGCAGAGAAGGCAGACATACTTATGGCACCGCTCTCCCGTGCTTTGGAGTCGCTGAGAGATCTGAGGCGATCTGCCGAACCCAGGGAAGGGATGTCATTTTCAAATGCCATGGAGTTGGATAACAGCGATCAAGCCACAGGAGCGCCTTCTCTAGCCTCTCGAGGTGATTTTACCGGCTCCCACACCCCCAGTTGGCAACTTGTGTCGGCCTCGCCACAGCCGATGAAGCAGACTCCTAATAACTTGGCACGTGTTGGTCAGGCAAAGCCTAGTAGAAGATCCCTTGACGAATTGGGCGCTTCGATGGACTGGGATATCGACAGCACCAGCGCGGTAACTACTCATTCTTCTTTGGTGGACGGTAACCGGACAGGATCGTCGCTCAGTGTTGAACGGCAGAGCACAGCAGCATTATCTCCTTTGAAATCTTCGGCCACAGCCTCATCAGTTGAAGATAAACTAAGTAATTTTCCTGAAGGTAGTCGCTTACCGTCAAGGGCGTTAATGGTCAATTCCTCTGGACCCCTTTCGTACAGGGCTCCTTACCTGCTGACTCCCCGATGAAATCAACCTCGCATCCGCCTGCACATCCTTCTTTCCCGCACACCCTCAACGTGTCGTCTGTGAGAGGTGACCTGGTTTCTTCCAACCCATCTAGTGTAGACCAGGGTCAGCCTAACCTTCCAGTTCCGTCTATCGACGAACATGCGCACGACAGTGGAAAGGGTGGTAGTGGTTCCTCGCATACTACACAGTACGGACAACGTGGACCGAAGCATTCCCGGAGACATCCAGAGTCAACCCAGCTTCCGCCAGTGACTATGTCCCCCCGAGGATGATTAGGTTGCCCCGTGACGTAAGTAGGAGGTTGCAAGCCACAGACGATTTGGGCTCTGGAGATTCAAAGGCTGTGGCGCGATCGTCGCCTCATGCGATCCCTATCCCCATTCCCAAAGGGCCTGTGAAAGATTCTCCAGAGGCACGTGCTTATCGATCCGGGCTTGACATGACCGATGATGAGGAAGATGCTGATGAGCGTCTTAAGAAGCCTAGACGTGATTCCTCCGGGGATTCGAGTTCAGCCTCGCCGCCGTCACCCTTGTCAACCATCGCTGAGCCCATTCGGGAAGTTCTGGAAGATATGCGCCAACAACGGATGAGTCTTTGCCAGAGTTTGCGGCAGTACGTTTTTGTCCATCTCGCCGTTGTTGTAGGGGCATTGGAGATTGTCGACGAAATAAACGCAGAGCTAGTAGAACGAGGTGTGCACAACCTAAGTCGCCATGTAAGTTTTTCGCCTCGCGCAACTGTAGCTGCTGAGGGATGACCAGTATCACCCATAGCAGATCTACCCTACAGTTAGGATTTCTTCTCCTCGACTTTCCCCTCCCCAGATAGTGTTTCCGTCTGTTGAGGCATCGGGGGACGATATGTTTCCGGGCACGTATACCATATCCACTGCCAACCTCGCCCAGTTCAACGCAGAAGGCGGCTTGTATAGGCTTGGGAATCGGGCGTCCATCAAGCGCAAACAGCCAAGCATAGGATCGTTAACCGACGAGGGGACCACTTCTCGCACCTAAACTATTGCTTCCCGCTACACATGAATCATATTGATTTTTTTCGTTATCTGCCTCTGTGCGGACACCCAAACTTTTGTGTTCGGTGAATCTCAGCTTCATATGAACTAATCTGACGGGTTCTTATGTCCTTTTCTTAATTTAAACATTTGGGCTACATTACTTGTTCTCTGTTCCCTCCCCTTTCTGGGCTAGAGTTTGTATTTGTTATCCTTGCGTTGGGTCTTTTACAGCACGGTGTTGTTTGTGTCCCTAGATCATCAATTCAGAACAGCCTATCTACGAGTGCCTGGTACTTGATTATAAACTTGTTCTTCAATACCTGTCTTTTTTGTTTAGTCCACCACCGGCAATACGTATCTCGTTTCACCAGCAGCTTTGCGCACGCGATTCATTATTGCAAGTCCTTCATGTGTCTCCGGTATGCTCTCTGCGATGATTACATCAACACCGTCATTGTCTAAACTCAGCAACCCATCGAAAAGTCTTTGGGCAGTGACCTGGGGTGTGTTGGATGTACCCAGCAGATGGACTTTGTATTCGTGCCTGCAATAGAAGGTGCATGTGGAGAGGGCCGCATTGAATGGCGTGAGATAAGGCGAGTCTGAGGTGAGCAGAAGACCCAATTTTGTACTACGACGGTCCGAACTAGAGAACAAGGCGGCTAGGAACGATCGGACGGTCTGAGCTGCAATCGGTTTCTGTCCTGTTTCTGTTAACGATAGTGGCAGTTCTACTATCAGTCGCGAAGGGTCCATGAGGAGAATGACGGGCGATGAGGGTGCATAATGACGGTACTTCATTCCAGGTGTCGTTGGTGCCGCTTCGATGTCTTCATCCTTATAATCTCTCCTGTGAACCAGGACCTTCGTCGGCTGTCTTGTTCTTGCACCATCTTGACTCTCATCGTGAGAAGCAACGACGCTCTCAAGTTGTTCAACCGTGATCCCACCAGGTCTCAACACGCGTAGATGTCCATCCTTCCTAATCCATCCACAACCGTGCTTTCGAGTCCGACCTGAGAAGGTCCACCATCAAGAATGCATTTAATCTTCCCATTTAAATCCCTATAAACATGTTCTGCACGGGTGGGACTTGGACGTCCGGAGGAATTGGCACTGGGTGCAGCGAGAGGTTCGTCACAGAGTGCGATAAGAGCTCTGGCGATGGGATGGGATGGAATACGGATGGCTACGGTTTCGTGACCTGCAGTGACGGAAGTTGGGATCAGAGATGAATGGGTGATTGGGAATAACAATGTTAAAGGACCGGGCCAAAATGATTTGATGAGTGATTGGTAAAGAGGTGAGAGGGTGTATGAAGGTGGAAGAATGCGTTTGAGCATGGATAACGTAGATACGTGTACGATCAGTGGGTTGTCCGCTGGTCGACCTTTTGTCGAGAATATTCTCAAAACGGCGTCATGGTTGAGTGCGAGTGCACCAAGACCGTACACGGTTTCGGTTGGGAAAGCTATTGGTTGAAGACCTTTCTTTAATATGGAGCAAGCATCTTCCAAAGCACGTCGGGTATCTAAGGAGGATATGACGGGTATCACGTTCTCCCCGTGCTCTTCGAAAGATATGGAGTATGGATCACAGGGAAGTATGACGGTTTCGACTTCCATCTTGTTGTCAGATCGAGCCAGATGGCTTGAACCTGATGCAGAGAAGAACCGCTGCCGCTGGGGCACCGAACACTGGCGCAAATGACTACAGCAGGAAGTGGCAGGGAGTAGGTGAATGTAACAAGACAGCGAGAATCTTGGTCGATTAGATATGACTCGGAGTCGATGATCGATCAAGTTCTTCCCCTCCGCGGTGGAGCCGCGAAGAAGTGCGCAAATAGAACGGAGTATAATGATAAGCCTTACGGTCCTCCGTCAACCAGAACGAAATTTCCGGAGGCGTATAGTACCTAGGTGATTCAGGAAAATAAGATCCGAAATACGGAAGCGCGCGTTAATTCAATGTCAAAAAAGTGATGACAGCAACGCGCAAACAGTTATTGATTCTTTCTCGTACGGTAAGTGCAAAGCAGATTGTCAGTGATATACAGGAGTCAAAGCAGTTGCAATAAAGGAAATCCACAAACTCGGTCGGTGTGGTTGCAGCGAAAGAAAAAAGAAACCCCCATGTGCACAAGCGGTTAATAAATAGGCGCAAGGCGACAACACGGGCTCGATCACTTGGTTGCGACTCGGGGGTGTTCCGAAGTAAAAAAAAATGGTCAGGATGGGACATCAACAAGATAGACGCGCAATCACGTTTTGCGCAGGACGGAAAGGAGGAAGCTACACACATCCCCAACGTCTCGTGTGTTGACTCGCCTACAGATAGGAAAGGGCTCAGCGCTTGTACATGCTTGGCAACCTCCTGACGATGTTGTCAAACGATTCCGCCTCCAACACGGGACGCGATCCGTCACAACGAGCCTTCGCGCTCAGTTCGTTGCATAACTCGTCAATGTCGCATTCCTGTACAACAGGGTAGAGCAGGGAAGTGAACATAAAACCATCAACACTTCGAGTACGGGCAGCCAAGGTCATTGAGAAGGTCTAACCTCAAATGATGGATGCTGTCTGACTTTCTCCCAAGCTCTCCCAATCTCGATTTGGTTGGGTTTCTTCACAGTCCTCGGCAAGTCCGCACACAGCGCTGCCATCCTAGCATGCGCGCACGCATCCTTTTCATCAGCCTTTCTCGGCTCTCCGTTGTTAACGGATGAGGTGGAGGGAGCAGAGGGAATAGCAGTCATCACTGTTATAGGGGGGCCGAACGTGCTAGGCACCGAATTTGCCATCTTTCTTCTCACATCCTCTGCTGTCTTGGGGCAACCTTCACCGGAATCGTGGCAGGAGGTAGCAGCAGTGGTGCCTGAGACGTCCGAGCTGCTCTGAAGGCTTGACGTCCGATACAGGCCCGGCGAATCGCTGGGGACTTGAACGAGGGTGGTTGAAGTAGGCGATGGATTACTATTGGAGAAAGCACTGCTCAAGTCAAATGGTTGAGAGAAGATCTCGTCGATCGATGTGACGTCTCCCTCGAAACTGCTTCCGTAAGCTGGGGGGATACCGAAAAGGTTGAGGCCGTCTACGCCATCCTGACCATAATCACCGAAAGCATTCCAGGCAAGGGGTCCAAGCTTGTGTCCCTGAACGAAGTGTACAGAGGGTTGGAGGCAATAGTGGTGTATTGAGGCTTCTTCGGGTCATCCCCGATGCTGTTGTAGTCTGGAAGGCTGATGAGGTCAATGCGAGAGGTGTTCGCTTCGGAAGGTGGCGAGCTGGACGAATTGCTGCTACTTGGACCTGATGGACCTCCTAAGAAGAGAGATGAATGGACAGAAACAACTTGAGTCGACTCGGGTGAAGAAGCCGCCGAGCTGGAACTGGACGAACTAGGGTATAGAGCCTTTGGGGAACCTGACGGGTTGCCGGTTGCGGAGGCGGAAGCGCCCGTAGTGGAAGAGCCGGCACGAGCGGAGTTGTTGGGGAAGTTGAAGGTGAACGCCGACTGCTTGAGCACCAAGTTCTCGTTTTGCAAACGACTCAAGAGCTCTCGGAGGCTGGTGTTCTCCAAGTCCTGATTCTTGGATTTGGCCTCAAGGACTGCAAGTTGATCCTCAAGCTTTGGGGATAACGAGATCAATATCCGACCGGCACCTGAACGAGCATGACGTACCTCTTTGACATGGCGTTCTTTCTTTCACGGAAAGCACGTTGGGCCGCACGATTTTGTTCCTTTCGTTTTTGAAGTCGGCTCTCGTCCTTTGTGAAACGTGAGCCGGATGTGCGTTTACGAGTGGAGGGAGCGGAGGAAGGTGGACGAACCGTGTTGCCCGAAGAGCCTTTCCTGCGACTGCTGGATGTAGCAGACCTCTTGTTGCCCTCCAGATGTTGCGACTTTGCAGGACGGTCACTATCTTCTTCAGAATCGGTGATGTCGTCAGCCTTCCGCTTGGTTCCCTCATCATCGTGCCTGTGAGCGCTTGGGGATGGTCCCTCTCCCCGTAGCTGGGGGGGCTTGGGCTGCTCTCCTCGCTGGCTGGGGGAGTCGGATTGTCGACTGGTGGGGCTGGGAAGCGGGTTGAATCCAGCATCAATGCGGAAGGCGTGGCAGCAATCTGTTTTTGAAGCATTGCCAAGAAAGCATCGTTATCGAGGGGAACGTTGTCCCAGGAGGCAGGGTTATTGTAAGACATGATCAGTAGGGGGGAAAGTGGGGTGTCGTACTCGAAGTTTTGGGGGATTGCTATGGGAGGAGTGTCAGGCAGCGAGACGAAAGGAGAGAGGGGAAAGGAGATCTCCGTTCTCAATCAAATGTATCGGATCAAGTGGCGAATGGTCAACTTTTCTGGGCGCCCGCTGTCTTCGACGAGGCAGAACGCTACCGCCTGCGTCACGGATGATCACGGGGGGGATATGAGTGGTCGAAAGCAAGCCTGAAAGCTGTCGTCGCGGTGTTCTTTAACCCTCTGACTAATTCGATGGAAGCTTCGGATCCAAAGCATCTCCAAGCGCTCTAAAAGGAAACGCCCTTCCCGCTCACCTCCCCCCGTTCCATTCCCTTGGACGCTTGTTCCAGCCAGGCCAGTGAACACCCCGCGAACTCGGCCAGCGCATGCGGGCGTGCAAATGGCCCCCGTCCGTGCACTCACGGACTATAAGTTCCGATCCAGGATATCATTTCATCCTAGGAATGGGAATGTATTATTCATTCATGCCATCTGGTGTGTGATAAGTGCTACGAGACGTTGAACATTCCTTTCTGCACAGAACCATCTTCCAACACAGCCAGACGGTTGCACATCGATTGAGGCATTTTTCGGCCGGCCACGTCGTCAATGACTCAGCCTGTGCGCCACCTCCACATCGTTCCCAAAGGGATATTACATTCAACCCATATACTCGGAATGACTGTATAGCCAAAACGGATAGTGCCGACGCCGCTTCTCGCTTGGTCTGCATCGAACACCCAGCGATAAACCCGTTAATCACCGTGCGTGCGGCGTCCCGTCCAAGTGGCCGAGGAGGTTCTTCATCTATATTCACTCAAATCCCAAAGTCACGCTCGGCGAACCGAATACCGCCATTGACGTCGTTGGAATCTGTGTTATCTTATCTCCAATGTCCATCTCACTTGTACTGTTACCTTACCCGCTGTTGCAGGTCGGTGTGCCTTCCCCGCTCGCACTTTGAGGTGCACAGTCATCAAGGAGCAAATATCTCTGATCAGCGTTTGTATCCACAGAATGAATTAATGGGGACACTCTCAATCTAGGTCAACTGCCCCATTAGTACTATAGCCTGGGCCACCTGACGCTCAATCTTCGGGTCGCCACCCGTGGTTTGATTGGCGCTCATGAAGTTGCCGTAACCTGAACCGAGAACGCGTGTCCCTCAGTCTCATAGTCAAATTGACCTTCGTCAAGTCTCTAGCCGGGAGTTTTCTGTAACGATTGTGGGGCCTTTTCTTCTCAGACACGGGCCGGTGCAACATTTTTACGCACCCGTGCTTAGCGGTACGAATGCTTCCACCTGATGTGGCTTCCATTAGTGAAACCTCCATCTCAGGTTGAGCCGGGATGATCTAAAGGTATCCATGGACCGAGATCATATAAGGTTTTCCCAACCACTCCTTCTGTTCATCGATGCAACCCTTGCTCATGCGATTTGCCCACGGCCTGTGTCGGCCATTTGTGGCCGTCGAACCTTCGCTGTCAAAACCAATCAAACCTCAGGGCTCAGGAACAATCGCAAACGAATGACATCAATATGGCGGAGGAGTCTAGACGGACCACAACACGTTCCTCGTGGCTATCGTCAAGTGCACAATGAAAGACAGCCTCATGCAATGTTTCATCAAAAGTTGTGGTGGTCATACGCCTGAGCACCACTGCCCAATAAGGGACGAACTTTGGCTTTTCGTCCACCCCAGGTGAGACAAAAACTCCAGCTGGATCTGAACTTGCGTCCTAGCTCCAGATTACCGGTCACGGAGTGCATACTGAGCCCATGGCCGTCGACAGTACCACTGTAATCCATTCAAGGAACAACGTTTGTCCAACAGTGACCGATATATCGTCAATCCTTGTAAAACGTTCATTAATTTGCGGTCTTGACCCCCGACTTACTCCGTCCCAGGGTGTAGCCCGACAATGAATTATGGGCGTAACCGTTCCCTTTGGTGTTCAAGACTGCCTAGCTTCTCACAGCTTACCCTGAAACCATATAACATAATCATTTGCAATCTCCAAGGGACGCCTTCTACTGCCTGTTGCAGAGCAACGTATCGGTCAGGGAAGACCTGAAATGTTCGTCACTTGCCAACAAACTGAATATTATTCCCCACCCGTTCTGCTGTGCTTGATGACACTCCAAGGTTATAATCCGTTATGGTATAGGACAAAGCCTGACTCCTTTCTCCATCCCCCCTCGGTGCCGTAGCTTGTAACACTTCGACACTTCCGGCAACTGGTTGACATCGTTCTACCGTTCAACGGCTTTGCTTATCGACCGGTGCTGAAGTTAACGAATTTATACCGTTCCCCGTGGCCACGTCACGGGTTCGATCTTTGGCACGACGGCGGCGTCGATCGCGAAATCGATCTGTGGATGGCAAGACCTGCGGATCCTCGCATCAATCGTTGTCACCTCTATTTTGTGAGCAAATCCAATCATGCTCTTACAAGACCCGGCGCCGCGACATTGTTCATTTTCTTATGAACTGGCTAATTCTGAGTATTCGGAAACGGTTAACTTGTATGTTCGATCCGGCTACCTTCTCGCACATCCGTTATCGTGTGAAGGTGTCTTTGGCGCGTTGTTGATTTTGGTCGCTGCACTTGTACTGCCGAATCTCACCTTTTGCCCTATACCTAGCCATTGACAACCCGCCCTTAGTGACCTTCGTTTGTTGGTTTGGCCCCATGTGTGGGTTCAAAGTTCATCTGTTTGACGAGGATTTTAAGTATGATGCATGGTTATCCGACGGCGGAAATGATCTGGAAACCATCCAAGGCATGGGAACCCTCGGGCTCCCCCTCGCTTCCTCTGGCATGAGAACAAGACGTTAGCATCATACCATAATTCCGACCTCATGCTCTCGACAGCACTGTGTACAGTTGGCTGTCATGGTTCGGTGAATTCCTGTGCTGTAAGCGGCATATCATGCAGTGACTGAGTGTGCTGTGGTTTAATCGCTCTGTACATGTGAGCGAAGAGCCACAAGGTAGTCAAACAACGCGGTGAGACTCGCGAAGGGAGTGGATGCCGAAAGTCACCTGCATTACTGCTACTGAGTATAATGAGCATGAGGTAGCTAAAGCCAGCATGTGTATAGAATGGACATTAGGTTACGTGTCAAACAATTAGGCGTTAAGAAAACGCAGCCAAAGTGCGAATGGATGTCAAATGAGCACTGAAATTGATGTCGGGGACGTCAATCCCAATCCGGACATGAGGGCGAAATGGGAGCCAATGAGAGGACCGCGTCGGAACCGACCCAACTTGGGGTTAAGGTTAAAACCTTAAAGAGCGAGAGCTTGAGCAGAGAGTCGTCCGGCTGGACCCGCGCAAGTTAGATAAATGAACGTCTTAGTCTACTCTGGGCCAGGTGGCTCCGAAACATCTCTTAGGCACACCATACACACCCTCCAGTCTTTGCTTGAGCCTGCATATTCTGTTCAAATTATCACTTGAGGTTGAGGGCCATGAGGAGAGAGTTGAGCGAATGCAAAGACGTCCACCGAGGTTTTGTGTGCAAATGAATGACTGCTGAGTAAGTGGAATGAGATGAGGATGTAACTTGGGTTGGAACGTGCTGGATCGGTGGGGAAAGAGAACCGGGGCTGTCAATGCAGAATGCAATGCTCGTGGGAGTGTCGTGGGATCCAATCCGGATGAACATGTTGCAAGTGAGAGTGGAGGGCAGGGACAGGTGTGTCAATCGAAAACCGCTGTGGAAAGACAGCGAGAGATTAGGACTCCGCGCACAGAATGAAGCGCATTGCACAGCTGGGAACACCGCGTAACTCCGGGTAACGGTTGACGCGCGCGAATTGCTTCCGACAAAAAACCGTCAATGTCCGTGATAAGTCCGGCCAATGAGCAAGCGTAGAAGCGCAAATGAGAGAGCGAGAAAGTCGAGGTGACCAATCGGAGTGCTTCGATCGTAAGCTTTTAGTATATGTAGATACACAATTTCTTCATGCAGTTGAACTTCAAAATTTGACCTTGTAATAGTATTGTCATATCCCGGATCTTCCGCCTCCTGCCACCCTATTCCTATATGACTCCTATGACCTCCACCAGCCCTCTGTCAGGGCACACCTGCCTGGCCCCGCACCGCACCCTGCGCCGTACTGCACTACTCCGCTTCCCCCACTATCACTCCGCATCTCCCCATTCCCATTTTCCCCCTTTCTCTCTATTTCTATTCTATGGTCAATTTCCCTTTCTCCATGTACCACTACATACCTAACCCCGCCCCCCTGATCACCGCACACACCACACACACTCCTGCCTACTGAGCAGCCACCTCTGGGATCTCCTGCAGAGACACCCAGGGAGGTGTGGCTGTGTGTGGAGATGACGTGGCTTCCTCCATGTGACCCTAGCCACATGTATATAATAGCACCTGGGGTGGGAACAGAAGAAGCAGCCTTCTTCTCAACTTCCCACTTCAGTGGTTGGGGATGCTCACCCTGTGACGGGATCGCCACTACACATAGCCGGTATTCGTCCCACCGAGTCCCACACACCGGGACCTTGCCGCTTTTGGAGCTGTCCCTGACACCCTCCCAATCTCTCTCTGCTGCCTCCGGTTGATGCCAACGGCCCTAGGACTACCTCCTGTCAGGGACAGCTCGAGAGAGGCGGAGGTAGTGGCATAAAGCTTGGCACTAGTGGCCTGGATGGCGGCGGGGTGGTGAGACCGTATGGTGGGCAGCCCTTCTCTGGGCTTATGTCCCTAGGTAGCTTCTTAGGCTGAAGCAGTAGTGATTGTCATTAGGATGAAAGGCTAAACTAAACTAAACTAAGCTAGAGTAAGGTACTTGCCTGAAGCAGTAGTGAGAAGAAGGCTACTTCTTTGGTTCTGCTTTGGCTCGGTTTATATACAGGCGGGAACGGGTCATGTGTGGGGTGCCACATCAGCCTGGGTAGAGCTGGGCTATTGCGGATGGCTCTGCGGGTGATCCTGAGTGTCAGAGGAAAGAAGTACAAATGAGGATGCGCAGCATACCCGGTGGCGCAGTACCCACACAAAGTACTCAGCGTCGGGCATGTCCATGCTACACAGGTGAGAGGAGAGGTCATCCATATGAAGAGAGAAAGGAAAGAGGAAAGACAAAGGAGAAAGGGAAAGAGGGAGGAGAAGGAAAGAGGAGCAATGGGAGGTGTGGCATGGAGCAGAGCTGTCAGAGACCAGGTCGAGACGAAGGAGTGTCTCCGTGATGGAGGGCTTTGGCCTCAGCGACTTATGCCAGGAGCGCTGTGCCTAGTAAACACATCCATGCCCTAACTTACTAACTGGCCACCAGAACTGAAGAGGGTAAACTCTAGTCGATTTTATTACTGGAGTGTAACCTATGTACAAGTTAAGTATATATAGTTACAGCGAGGGCGGGCCCGCAAATGGCGGAGCCGAGCGGAGCGGAGCTAATGGGGTTAGACATTAGCCGATTGAATATTACCGATGAGTCAGGTTACGGGGTTAGCGGAAAGGCAGGCGATAACCCAGAAACGGAAAGGAGGGATAGGCCCGAAGGTGGGCTTTGCAGGGCAAGCGAGTGTATTGTCCAGCGGAGGCAGGAGTGTGCTAGCGGACGTCGGAGCTGTCTGGAAGCCTTTGGGGCTCTGTACTTAGGGAGGTGTAGGTAATAAATTGAAAGGAGGGGGTGGTGACTGTCATATCCGTGCATACCCGACCCCGACCCGACTTCCGGACCTCCACCCTCTTCACCTCCGGAGTCATAACCTACTGCTGCCGTTCCGATACTCACCCTCGGTCCTGGCAACACACCTCCTCCTTACCTCTTCGACCCTATCTCCGTCCGCTCCGATACTCATCTCAGACCGAACACCGCCCCTCTCGCCACCCTCCTACTACTCCGCTCCCCCTTCACAACACCTCCACCCTCCCGTCATCCTCCTACACTTCCCCCGTCCGCTCCGATACTCACCTTCGGACCTGACTACTCTCCTTTCCGCCACTCCTTCTTCCTTACCTTTCCCCTCTCTCCTCCCTCTGTTACTCCTCTGCCACCCTTCCGCCAAGTTACGACCTTCCACCGCTGTTCCGTACTTCGCACTCGGACACCGCTCGTACCTTACTCCGAGCCTCCGTCATAGTCCCTACCTCGGACTTTGACTCCACCTCGGTCTTAGTCCATTGCATTGGTGACCTCATACTACGTAAACACCATTGCCAATATCCCTCG